ACCACATAAATTAAAGCAGAAAGAAACCAGATAACTTATGCTGAATGATGCAGTGAAAAAATTCAAAATATAAACTAGGTCATTCCTCCCACATTTGTTTTACAGAGTAAATTGTCTTTTCTAATTAAATGAAACTCAAGTCATGACCCAGGACATAATAAGACTTGTCTAGAAATCTCTCACTGTTGCTCTAGCTATAGCTTCTCAAGGGAAGATAACAGAGTTTTAAATTTGTAACAGTATAAATAATTAATAGATTATAAATTATTACTATATATTCCAAAATTTCCATCATTCAGTAAAGACTTCTTTATCCTACCTAATCATCTCATGATATGCCTTCCATGCAGACTTGTACTTTGCATTTGCTGAGCATGTTGACTCAGGTGTTTGTTCATGGTGTACATTTAATTTATATTCTTTTTTTTATTCACAGTCATCCTGGTATCCCACTTTGCCACAAGGCATCCCTGAACACACAGGTCTTTTTCCACAGTTATGTCTTCCATTATTCTCCATCATGTACATGGAACCTTGATAGACATTAGTTTTCCTTCTCTCATTTCCACTGCTTCAAGTACCTCAGAAATTTCCAGATAATCTAAAAATGGCCTCTTGCTATAAAAATTGTGCAAATAATCTTAATCATAGAACAAAGAAGTATTTTAATATGAAAATCCCCTCTCTTAATCTTCATTAAGATGAGGATCACTCTTAATCTTCATTTTATTCCACAGCATTCAATCACCCACTACATACCATATGTATTTTTATTGCTTTCTTCTTCTGTAGAAAGTAAAGTCTACAAGTGAGGAAACTTTGTTTTATTCATTGCTGATTCCCCTGAGATTATCATGGTACCTGATGCTACTCCATAAATATTTGCTGATTTATTGAGTGAAAGTCAACACACATGCCAACTAAGGGATCTTGGCTTAAACATCAGCAAAAAAATAAGCCACAAAATGTTTTTTCTGGCTTCTATTACTAACAGTATTTATTTCAAAGATGATAAAACATTTAAATGATTTTAATTACATGAGTAAATTAGGAGTTTATGCTTCCTCTTTGTATGTGTGTGTGTGTTCTACAATATATTACTTCAAGTAAATTTGATGAATTCTTTAAGAATAACTTTGCTGTTTTCATCCTACTACATTGACTGTTCAGGGAGGTTATGTGATAAAAGAAAATAGATTAATTACTTAAATGTTAACAATATTGCTGCTCACATTTCATCATTTACAAAAACCTTTCTTTGAAAGATATAATATCCTTTTGAGGGAACAAATATACTGCTATTATTTTGTTTTGATATTTGTGCTTCTGATCTTATTTGAGTTTGTGCAGCATTCCCTAGGCAAACCTTGCATAATTTATTGTCATTGTACTTAACTGTGCTTTATTTGGGAACCAATGTGGAAAATCCTGGAATAATGTCATTTTATTTGCAGAATACCAATGTGCTTTCCAATAGTTTAATTTGTATTGCTTTATTATAAGAACATTTAAAAAGAAGAAGTCCAAGTACCTTAAGAAACATTATCTCAATATAACTTTAGAATTTACATACATTGACTTAAAAAATAAGATCTAGTAACCTTATATCAAGTGACTTCCAAATAACTTTACACATTAATTAAAATTTTAGTTTCTCCTCTTCGGTCACCTGGATCAATGTAATTTATTAAGCAAGAGGAGCAATTCAGTGTTAGCCATATAACCATTAAGGAGTTCTTTAAAAACATTTACTTATTATAATCCTTGTTACCAAATTTTAATCTGGTGGTCATGAAGTTAGAGAATAAGAATTACAGATTTTCTTAATTCATTTAAGGGGAAATGAGTGTCATCTAACACACACACACAAACATACACGCTGAAGAGAGTAGGATGCACTTAGAAACAAAACTCTCTTAGCGATCCTCATCCTACAGAATCATTTAAAACCAACAAGGTGAAGAACTTATTTTTGATCATCGCATTCCCCAACAAATGAGGAAGTGCAGTCTTGATCCTGTACATGAATCTCGTGATTTTTATGTGTGAATTCATTGTGAGATAGGCAGTAAGTACTTCATTTTCATTTTTGACTCAATAGGAAAAATTCAGGTAAGTGCATTTATCGACTTTACTACCTGCGCCGAAGCAGCACCCGTGATAGAGTAGTCATCAGTATCAGACTCAAAAGGGACGCCGCTGGGTCAGACATCAGGAGAAAGCAGCACGTGGTCAGAGAGAACAGACTACTAAGGCAAAATTTTATATGCTCATTATCAGTGCTTATTCCCATTTTCTCAGTATTAAAATAGAAAATTCTCAAATCTCTGCAAGGCAGAAAGGATAGTTGAAATATATGTGAAATTTGAGAGAACCTATACAGTTTAATTATGTATGATTGAATATATGTATAGTCATGAGGAAGAATGAGAGAAAGTGAGAAAGGCAGGGATGAAACAGAAAAAGAGAGAACGAGAGATGGGAAATAGTGGTTGAGAAAGAGAACATTAAAATTCAAGGGACAATATCAGCATTTTGAAGACTACCAAGTGTGAGGAAAAGTTCTGGATATTCTGGAGGCTTTAATACTCTTGGGAAGACAAGATAAAAATCGAAACTAACAGATAGTAGTAAAAGACTTTCTGTCACCACATGCTAGAATATAAACTCTTTTTTGGTTCATTGATTACAAAATCATTGTTCAAAGTGATTTCCTACAGTAGATGCTGGGATATAGTAATATATCAATAAAAGTTTTTGAATTAATTTAAAGAGTTCATATAATAAATGAGTTTTTTTATAATACAGTTATTAATTGCTTACTTAATTAGATAGATGCAGTAGTTTCCAAGGAGAGAGAGCTTATTTTGGATTAATATTAGGGTATTTGAAATGTGTTTGTAGATTTTAGGCTAATGAATTTCAGATAGATAGAAATGAGAAGTGAGGCATAGCTCATTAATTTCTTGTGTTTACCCATTTATTTAGTGACTGTCATGTGTCCATCAATATGGACAAAGAGATTAAAGCCATAATAATCTGGCTGCACATAGCCTACCTCCTAATAAAAACAAGAAAAATCAATCAATACACGCAAATATTTGTAACATAGGAAATATGCTAGAGATATAAGCATGCACAGGGTATAAGAGTCTAGTGAGTCTTGAAGAGATAAAGAACAATGCTTGGAGAAAGGGGTAACTTGACTGATCCTGAAAGATAAATGTGTGGCACTCCTAAGGAAAAGAGAAGTGCTTTCTAATCATCAGGAATGGCATCTACAAATGCTTTGGGGTTCAAGAGAGTCTGGTACTTCTGGGAAAGTAGAAGTATGGAAGATACCTGGGAGAAGTGGCAGGGCACTGCCTGCTGAGATACAGAGCTTAGACTGAATACTATTGGCAATGGGAATCTTGGAAAGATTATGGGCTGGGGGTTAGACACAATTTACTGAGGAAGGTGACAAAAGCAAGAATTGGATGGGACCTCTCAGAACATCAGAATGGACTGAGTGTAATTGAGAAAGCATATGGGGAAGTGTATTTCTGTAATTCAGATGAGAAATGAGGGCTTGAACTAATATAAGAGCAACTGGAATGAAGTAAGCAGGATAAACATCAAGAAGCAAATAAAATATAATGGCTAATAATTATTGATTACTTTTCCTGTACTATACACTGTTATGAGTGTTTTATACTTATCAACCTTTTTATTTGTACAGCCCTATACAATATGTGTAATATGATCATCCCCATCTTATAGATGAGAAAAGTGGAGCTGAGAGAGATTAAGCGATTCACTGAATATCATAACTAATAAACATCAAATGGCCAAGACAGAATTTAGACACAGGAAGTATAGCTCTAGAATCCACGTTTTTAACCATTATATGATAATATCTCAGGAGAAACAAAATATATTAATGAAACAGAATCAACATTATTTGCTGATTAAAATGATAAGTACTTAAGGGGGAAAGAGAAATTGAAGATGATTCCTAGGTTTCTGATTTGGGTTGGAGCTTAGAGAGTAGAAAGTTAATTTCATTGAGAATATGGTGACTATAAAATACACATGAGGCAACAAATGAAGTTAGTAGGCAGTGTAATGCATCAGTAAGTATCTAGCACGGAGGTCAGAACTAGAGATCTAGAACCTATAATTCCAAAGGCCATGGCTTTGTGTGTAGTCACTCAGACCGGTGATAGTCTGAGAATAACAGGTGGTGTTTGAGGCATTCTAGAGCATGTAGCCATTCTCTTGGTTAGTATGTTTTGGGCTCTAAGTATCTGGAAACTCAAATTAAATTGACTTAATAATAAGAAAACAAATCTTCACAAAAAACAAAACCTTAATGGCAGTTTTTTGGATAGTTTGTTGTAACATTCAACAATGCCATCAAAGGCATGGATTTGTTTCTATGTCTGTGTTCCACCATCCTCATTTTTGCTCTGCCCTCAAAGTGACTCAACTACTGCAACAGTTATAGTATCATATTAAAATAAGGCAAAATCAGAATAGAAAAATACTCATATTTATGACCTCAGATGTAGTTTAAAATCTCACTGATTAGGAACATAACACATGGCCACCCTAAAGCCTATTAGCCAGGAAATGGAGCCACTCTGATTGGCTCAGTCCACTTGGCATCTACCTCTGTGTCAGGGATAGAGTAAATATCTCTTGAAGAATGGAGAGGAGGGGCGAAGATTTGCACAAAGTTGAAATTCAGTTATCAGGTATAAAGAGTAAGAATGACTATTGGGTAAGCAAAAAGTATTTTGCTATTGCCAAAAAGCAGGCAGAAAGCAAAAAGGATTCAGCAAGAAGACAGGAGAGGTAAAAAGAAAATATAAGAGTATTGTGGTTCAAGGGAGAAGAACACTCTCATAGTCTGCCAAAAAAAATGTTTTTTCTAATTTACTTTGAAAGATGATTTGTCTCTTCTCTTTCCTTTTCTCTCTCTTTTTTTTTCCTTAAAGCCTTATGGTGAGATAAAATAAGAAAGGAAAGCCTGGTTTGTGGAAGGAATGGAGGGTGAAGAATCAAAAAAGAGTAAAGAATATTCTTATGTTTCACTATGAAGAAACAGAGAAGTAACACGGTAGGTACAAGAGTTCTTGAGGTATTTAGGGCAATCAGAAACTATCTTTATAGTATTCTGGTTCTAGAAGTAGTACATGTGCCTTAAAAAATCCAAAGATTACTAGAATATGTAACGTATAAATTAATGTTCCTCTAAATTGCAACACCAAAAATGCAATTAAAAGTTGATATAAATTCCTCTTGTTGTATATGCTTCTTCATATAAATAAACCAGAATCTTTGGCAATTTGCTTTTTTCTTATTAATGTATGTTAGATAGCATTTTACATCAGTGAAGATAGGTTTCCCTAGTTCATTTTGCTAAATGAATAATGAGTTGAGTTGTAATTTGTCTATAGCATTCATCATACAAGCAAATTTTTACTGATTGGATGTTTTTATTTTTAATGGTACGCTCAATGAGGCAATATTGCACTTAAGAATACAAGTTTCCTAGAAATTAACTTCCAAATGTAAAATTATGATTCAGAAAAAAAATAACTTCTACTGTTTTTGAAGATATTACTAAATATTTCTCCCTGGATATATTTAGAGATGGAGGACACTTGAACATCTTTCAATGAAGAGAAGAAGTGATCTCCCCTCTATGTGATCTTCCTTAATATCACCAGGAAATGATTAATCTGTCCAGATTTGAGATTTTTTGGGGGTTTGGTTGGTCTTTGCTTCTTACAACATGCTACTTATATTTCATAACTTGTTCTTTATGAAGCAGTGTAAGAAAATTAGGCTGAAAATAAATGAGTAAAAGATAATAGAAAGAACTTATGGTAGAAAACAGACATACGTTGGAGAAGAGTAAATAGCACAGTTCTGTCCTAATTAGACATTAAAGGATGTTAAAAATCCCTCGAATATACATTCTATAGGTATATTTTAAATTTTGTATTAGAATATTTTATATCTCCAAATAAGCTAGATCCATCACAAAACTCATGTTGTAAAAAATAGCCAAAATGTCCTGGGTTACTCAAGAAACAGCATTGATCTTTTGATTATAATATGTTTAAAAAAGAAAAAAATTAAGCTATAATTAGACACAAAGATGCCCTTTAACAGAAAATGTATGTGGATATTAAGCATTTGCACTGTGAAGTATTTGTTAAAAGTTTCTTGTGGTAAACATGTTCCATTTACAGCTGACATTCTCCCTTGATCTCTGTGACTGGCTTTGATTACAACACATCTTGATGAAGCTAATGAAAAGCTTAATAAAATCAATTCAGTTGAAAAGTATAATCCAGAGAAATGTGTTTTCTATTCTTAAAGCATGATGACCAGTGTCTACTTTTTTTAGCCTAGAATGAGATCAGTATAGACCATTCAGATAGCTTTACAGCGAAGCTTTGGCTTTATGCTAATAAGTATACATTTTATAATTAAAAAGAGGAACTTTTATCATTCTACAAACATTTAATTGTCACAGCAAAATCAAAGTCATCTTTGTTCAATTCCCTTCAAGAAACTTTGAGTCATTGAGTCAAAGCTCCAGCTGAAAGAGCAAATCACTACTGCTGCTTGATTCAATGACACCACTGTAACAAATGAATGTGGACGGAACTATTCAGGTCTCCAGAAAACTTATAGACTCTATAAGCATCTCTTTCTATTTCATGTATTTTTTTACATTGCTTCTAGTTAAAGTAACAATACTTAAAGATTAAGAAGAACATGTTATAGTATATTTTATATGGCTCAATTAGTTATAACTTTAGATTGCAGTCTTTAAAATTATGTGAGCCCACCTGTACCTTCCCTTACAGATGCATTACCATTTACTCTTGTCCAACCCCTCCTTATACATCACAGGTGGAATTTGTGACTTAGATTTCCCTATCTTGCTTTTACTGTTCTCTAATTTATTGGATTAAAAAGTGCCAATCTACAATAGATTCAGTCATGTGTCTATCTATGATCCACTCACTGTAGCTATGTTATGACAAGCCAGCTTTGAGTTACACAGTCACCTCTGTGAGTTAAGTCAGCAAAATTCTGCATAGCAGGATTGTCTTACAAAGAAGTATTCAAATTCTATTACTAAAAAGATGAATATTATGTCAAAACAATAAATGCCAAAGCAATACTTTGAGAATTACTATAATGCTTATTTTCCAGCCTTATATATTTTATTCTTTTTAAATTCCTTATATTTAAATGAAATATAATTAAGTACATTTAAATGAATAGATGTTAAATTAAGTTTATCAAATATGAAACTTTATATATATACACATAATATATCAATCTATTCTTGAAACTGTCCTTTTTTAATTAACTCACATACTTATGGCTGAATTGATTATGCATTACATCATAGTTATCCATAAAGTCCATTTATGGTATTTCATGTTAGAGCACTTCTGATCCTTTGAGTAAGCACAAAAAAAAGTATAATTTGGAATTTAAATAGCACTTGACATTTCAAGTATTATTTACTAAGTTTAATTAGATACTTCTTAATAATATCAAAAAAATAACTTTTGATCAAGAAAACATACTTTTGAAGACTAACGTTATGGGAAGTTTATTATCTTTCTTAAAAAATATTAAATATATCACATAACACAATAAGCTAATTTGTGTAAAGTGCCTCACAAAGAACTTTGTCTTTTTTCTCTTAAATAGTACTCATAATTACCCTGAGGGGATGCAAATGACATTTCTAAATGCAGTTTTGGAAATTCATATCTAGGATGCTTACAACTGTGCTTAAAGAAATATATTATAGAATGAGCTTCTGTCTGACTCAACAGCCCAAATTATTCACAAAGAATTTCAAAATATCAAGGTTTTTTTAGAACTAATTTCAATTATAGAATGACACAATAGGGAAGCACTGGAAAACCCCACCACAAGCTTTAATTAAGAAAGGAATGAAGAGTCTACTCTGAGAACTTCATGATTCAACTCAACTTTGACCATTTAATTGAAAATACCTATCAATCCTCTAGCTTATGTCAATAGCACTATTTTAAAAATACATACTTTAATATTTCCTCCGGGCTACCAGTAAATTTTTTTTAATGTATCATATTTCATAAGGAATAAGTACTACTTCTTTTAACAATCAAATTACATACCTCTTTTCTTTGGATTGGAGAAGATATTATGGGATCAAAAAGAACTTTTGCTGGTGCAAGTCCTTCTGTTTAGCCCAGACCATGTGGCCTTCCTTAAGGTGGAGGTCACTCTCAAGAAATGCTCCTAAACACAGGAAAACTGTACTTTCAATATGAAAAAATACATTTTTTTTCCTGTGTGATGACTTTGGGCTGACTTTGGAGAAAACCAATATACCTTTGAGTGGTTTTTGTTCTTCAGTAATTCATAAAGAAAACAGATATAACTTTCACCATCTTCCCACTTCTCATGATTAGTTTCCTCTTTCCCATATTGTTTTCAATGAATTATGGGCAGAATAGCCTCTTCACTAATACCTGGTTATGGCTTGATGTTCCAGAGTGAGAGACAGAGGACAGAGGACAGAGAACAGAGGATGGAGGCGCAGGATTCGCTTTTGGTGGAGATGGGTTCTTGGAGCTGGATAGTAGGAGGAAGATGCCAGGCCCTGAGAACGTGTCAGAGCAAGAGAGCTGCTGCCAGGGCGCCCTCCCAAGTCACGCAGAGAGGAGCAGCCTGCGCACCATCCTCCTGCCTCCCCTGAGGTACATATAAAATACACAGTAACACATGGGACTTAAAGTAGCAATATTTCTTTTCTTTCTGAATCCTTAGCAAAGAAATTTGAGAAAAATACATTATTATTACCAAGATTTAGTAATAACAGTTTACTTTGTTTAAAAGAAAAATGAACCTTCAACTTTGGGGTATTCTGTGATTGTAATAAGCTTCTATTTTGGATACAAATAGTAGTTTACATACCTACTAAGCTGTTACTAATGTAGTTCTATTATTTCTCCACCTAGAAGAAGAGTAAAAACTGCCTGTTCATCAGCCTTTATCATTTTCAGTGTGCCTAAAAGCTGGATGACATCACTTATGAGTACATGGGCAATATGGGGGCTCAGAAAGGTCTCTATGAAAGGGAGAGGACACGCTCTTCTTTCCCTCAGTCCACTGCTTGTAATTGGACGCAATATTGGAGGAGAAGCAGCCGCCTTGGACCACAAGGATAAGGGCTGTGCCTCAAATGACAGGACAGGGAACTGAAGTTACTCTGTGTCCCTAATGGCTTTTGAATTGCCATACAAATTATACATTGCCCAATCTCCAGACATTTAATGAGAGGACTAAATAAGTTTTTCTCTTGTTTAAACCAATTATTTGGGCTTTCTCTTGTATATGACCAAACCAAATTTTAATTAATTACCATTTCCAGAAATAAGAGAACTAGTTGTTTTATTTTTTAATCTATGGCTATGTAGAGATCCTGAGTGAATCTAAGTTAATGAAGTGTTAATAATATGTTTATTATTTTTCCAATTATATGTCTATGAGTGTCTCTAAAGCTTGAGAGTGTTGTAAAAAGGTCATTTTAATTTCGTTTCATTTTAAGTAACAATTATTTCCATTGCAGACTCATTTATACTATAAATTAGCTCTGTAAATAGAAAAGTAACTTAGACATACATTTCAAGACATGGGGCAAAGCCAACTGTCACCAACTTTGAATTAGCAAAAATTTGATATCATTAAGATTTTTTTTTTTTCTTCACAGTGGCATTTACTCTGGAAACCAAGTGACTGTCATGAAAAATTAATTCTGTACAATTAAATTTAAAATAGGAAACACTAGAAAGAATTTAAAATAAACTAATGGTTGAGGAATTGAATTGGCTGCATGCAGATTGCTCAAG